GTGTGTGTGTGTGTGTGTGTGTGTATAAATCAGAATAGAGTAATATAAAATGAAACATGTTGAACAAAAGCATTAACGGAATATTCAAAACATTTATTAGAAGGGAAAATAGCTTAGCATTTTTTATTGGTGGGTGCATGTGTGATGAAGTGGTTTACTGCTAACCTCTCCCAAAGAAGTCAGGGTCCACAACCTGGCTAAGATTGGGTCATATATGAGTTGCGTTTGTTTGAGGTTTTGCTTGTTCTCTCCCTTGCCACAAGGGTTTTTTCTGTGTTCCTCATTTAGGGTGCAAGAGCTTGTTTAACCTCTTAGGTTTTTCTCTGGCACCCTTCACAAAACATGTAAATAATCCATGTCCCCTATTGTCCATTCTTGAGGCACCTGAGTGGCATGGGTACCGGCAGTACTGAGTGATTGAAGATTAGAAGATGGAACTCTCTTCTACTGTATATATTGTACTATTATGTGGGATAATATGTGAGATATTTGAGGTAAACTTGATAAGTTTTTAAGCTTCCTTGCTTTCATTTTCTCAAGAGACATTCAAAATGAATTAGTTAAATAGAGTGATGGTTATATACCTGCCAACAATCCTCTTCCTCGGGGGATGCAATATTATTATGGCTCAAATTCAACACCTCAATAGCTGGTAGAACTTTCTGATAACAAAAAATAATCAGAACACAAATAAATACAATTTTTTTACAAGGAAACCTATGAGACAGATAGCCTAAGGCCATTGTTTTAGGAATAATTATTTTGGTAAAGAATTCTCACAGAAAATAAAATAAAACACAAAAGAACACCAAAAATTATTAAAATAAATAAATAAATAAATAAACGAACCAAAACAAAACTAAAATGAACTACTACATCAAAATATAAATTAATGGAAAGTTAGTTAGAAAAACGTTACACGAGGTACCGAGTAAAGACTGGTTCGATGATTATTTTTGGCGCTAATTTTTCTTATGCTAAGCTAAAACACTAAAATAATAACATGCTAAACTAGAATATAATAAGACAAACTACATAAAAATATACAACAATATATATTTTTTAATTGCTTGGAAAAGCCCCAAATCCGCGTTTACACGAGGTAACCGAGTAAAGACTTGGTCGAGGATCATTTTGGCGCGAATTTTGCGCAAGCGCGTGATACTTTTGGCGGGAAGCAATTTGAAGGGAGCCGTTAGCTGCCGTTGAAGAAGACAAGACGAAGAGAATATTGGCTTAAAAAAAACTCAAAATGTCCTCACTAAATGAGGTTAGAGACATGCTGCTTATAAGCCACAGTCTCAATATTATAACAGACGAAGAACTTCTTTTGTTAATGCTGGAAAATTCTGGGAAAAGATCGAGAAAATCAAGTTTTCCTTACGACGACTACGAGCCGTTCAGCCTTGACGACATGGACGAAGACGAGTGCAAGTCTGACTTTCGTTTTGAAAAAGACCATATTCCTTGGCTTGCAGAATTGCTTGAACTGCCTGAAAAACTTAGTTTCTCAGGGAGTATAAAGGTAGAAAATGTCGAAGGGTTGTGTTTGGTGCTAAAACAGATGACTAATCCGTGCCAAAAAAACGACTTGATTCAATGCTTCGGAAGACCAATAACTGAACTACGAATGATTACAAACAAGGTTATCGATTATTTATACAGGGCTCATAAACACAGAATTACTAAATGGAACGAAGAAATTCTTAGTTCAGACTATCTACAACAATATTCTGCAGCTATTTCTTCAAAAGGAGGAGTTCTCGAGAACTGTTTTGGATTCGTTGACTGTCCGGTACGACAAAACAACCGCAAAATATTCAATGAAGAAAAACCTGTTTACTCACTCAAATACCAGAATGTAGTACTCCCGAATGGAATGATAGCCCACACGTATGGACCAATAGGTATTCATTTTATTTATTCATTTTTAGTGTAAAAAAAATAGATTTAAAAAATACTACATATTGTTTGCAGTATTTATCGTTTGGGTTACCTGTGGAATTTTTCTGAACCACAGGAAACCCAGAAGATAAACAACAACTTTACGGTTAGCACTCGTTTCCTTGGATCAAAAGGACCTTAGAGTGTCAAACAACAAAATGTATATATTGTGTTACTGCCTCGTTCTATCCAAAAGGTCATTTTGACTCTAGAATTTCAAGTACTGTGATGGATTAGAATATTTCATACAATATAAATCTGCACTAGCAATCACAAGTACTGTGTAAAATAAAAAGATTCCTGGCTAGCAGGAGCTAGGGTTTCCCTGGCATTTGTCTAGCATGCAAAGAAAGATTGACAGGGCTCTGGAGTTAAGAGTGACAAAGTGTCTAAAAACAGTATTGCTTGGTATCAATCAGCTGAATGAATCTCATTACCAGCCTTCAATACTCCTATTTACAGTTCCTTTCAGTGATCGCAAATAATAGTTCTAAGTTGAGGCTGGAGTTACTGCACATGATAAACTTTAGTTTTGCTATGAACAGCAACTCCAACCTCGGCTTGGAACTATTATTCTTGGTCACTGAACGGAACTGTAAAATGGAGTATTGCCCCCATGTACCAATGTATATACATGTATGTAGATATTTAGAGTAAACTTTGCCATTCAGCTGATAAAGATTCCACTTGAGAATTTACATATATTGATAGTGACCTATTGATATTTTCAGATGGAAAAAGACATGACTCCACATTACTGGGAGATTCTAATCTTCTTCCTGACTTGGAGCAATTTGCATCCACTCCAAATGGTCATACAATGTGCATATATGGTAATCCTTCGTATCCAATCAGAATTCACCTGAAGGCACCTTACAAGCAGTGCAAGGACTCAGAACTTACACCAGAGAAGGAGGCTTACAACAAATCAATGAGTGAAGTAAAATCACCTACAGAGTGGCTTTTTCCTGATGTGTTCAACTCATTTAAGTTCTTAGACTATCAGAACAATCACAAGATTAGTTTGGATTATGTGTCCAAAATGCATGTTGTATGTTGTTTAGTGCAAAATGCCCTGACATGTTTCTATGGAAATGAAACAGCAAAGTTTTTCAACCTGGAACCACCTGCAATTGAGGATTACTTTTCCTAAAGTAATTCTTATTCTGACTTGATTAGCTGGATTTGTTAAAGTTTTGAAACAATATATAAAACATTTAAATAATATAATATATGTATACAAATCATCTACAACTTGCAAATGTGCCAATTTATGTATAGGCAATCACATTTGTTGAAGTGACATATTTTGATGTGGAGTTGTTAAAGTTTAATTTGAATCATTATTTTGCAGTGTAATTCAAATAATTCAAATGTAAGTATTTATTAAGGAATTCATAAATCCAGTTCATCCATGGTAACTGCAATCATTGAATGAGTTCAAAAGAAGCAAGGCTCATATTATTGGATAGATTAAAAGATAAAGTTCTGAATTATTTATTAAATATAAAATATAATTAATATATTTTGGTATTCATGATAATATATGTATGTAGAATATGCAGTTCAGTTTAAAAGCATTAATCATACAGTGTAGATCATGACTAGTTTAACTTCTCAATTTGTGAAAGAATCCAATGATATGTGCATTATATTAAATTGAATAAATACATTAATTTACTGTAAGATAAAGCCAAAAAAACGATGAAGGTTGTGTACTCTAGCATGCTTCTCTGTATGATGCGCCCCTGCTGCATCTCAGAGATTTATAAGTATTGATCCAAGCTAACCATATTGGTTATCCATTCGGCAATGATCGACTACTTTTCGCAACAACAAAATTTGTTGCACCAACTTGCAATGCAGTTATGTTGCATGACAAGTTGCTCAATTTATTACCCTCCCTATACAGTCATGAAGTGCAGCTGGTGTAGCAGTGAAAGCACTCGCCTTCCACCAAGGAGACCCAGCATTTGATTTCTGGGCATTGTTGTATGAACGGTGGATAGTGCTATATCTGATGGATAAATCCTCGTCCAGTGGATAAGACAAGTCAATATTGTTGAACGAGTTTGCGCAAGGGTTTATCTGTCCTCTGATATAAACACGGTAGCCAGCCAATCAGCATGCAAGTTATATCTAAAATATTTTATATAAAAAAGGGCACATAAAACAAGGGGTATATTTACCACAGAGTCATCAAGGTGATCAATGCTATTATAGCTTAGGTTCACTTCTCGTAGGTGTTGCCATGCCACATTTGTGCTTGATAGGTCTCCACCACAGCATATAAATATTTCCTAAAGTTTAAAAACAATGATGTAAACAATCAGGATGTTGAGAAAACATAACAGTTCATCATAGGAAATCATGACATGAGGTGAAGTAGCTGGCTGTGATCCAACACAAGAAACAGAAGATATTTCATAGATAAAAAGCCGGTGTTTAGTTCAAAGCAATCCCAGAAGCTCCGGTGGCTGCTGGCTCATTCTGAAAGCCCTGAAGTAGTTTACAGCTTCTCAAGTGGAAAAAGCAATTATTTGAGGATTTTAGATACTTTTGTCTACAATAGTATCTTGACCAATCAGAGCGCACATGATAACTCTGTTACTTTATAAAAAGATTTGCATTTTCATCTTTTATGTCAAAGTCTCAACACACAAATAACCAAACACAGCATTACATCAAATTACACATTCCTCTAACTCCAACGAAAATCTGAAACATCAGTAAGATTTTTCAATTTTTCACGGTGCAAAATTTACCCTTTTATCATTACTTGTACATCATCAGGGACTGGACAACAAGCTCAGAAAACACTTACATTTAGTGCAAATGCCGAACGCATGCATGTTAGCCCTTTCAATTGCTTCCTAAGACTTTGAAGACCAAGGATGTAGCCAAGTGGAACCTTCTTGACCTTAGAAAACGAAATGAATAATTATACCAGAATGATCGATGGATGGAAAGATAATAAAATTAAATAACTAGTTACTAGTTGGATTGCGGGTGTGTCAAAGCAATTATTACCTCAAGGTATTGTACGTTCTTGAAATGGGAAATGCTTAGCAAGGTATCAAATCTGGCAGAAGGTCCTGGAATAAGCTGTAGGATGAAAAACAAAGGGAATAAGGAAGAAGAAATACTGTAAGATGATGCAAAATATAATAATAGGGAATGCAAGATATATTCAATATATCAAGGAAAATATATAGGGGTATAAGCACCTATGGTGGAATCTGGGGCTCCACAATTATTAATGGTTGTTATAGCTGTACCAATTACTATTAATTTGATACAATTGACACTACTTACTTTAAGAGATAAAGCCTTTTTTGTAAGATCATGTAAATAAGCAACACATGGGGAACTGCTCTTGCTGTAGCAAAGTCCAGCTTCAGTTTGCCCATTATTACCTGAAACAGTAAGTCGCATATAAGAGTATAGGTCAAACAACTTTATATGAGCCGTACGTCTATACACATTGAAAACAATATATAATAATTAGGTAATTTTATTTTGTCATTAGGCGTGGCTCATGTAAAGTTCAATGTTTAAACTTCATAATTAATAACCCCACTATAAGGGCAAGAAAATATATCTATTATATTTTTTTGTTGAATTATTAATAACATTATCCATCATAACCAACAGCCCTCACTATAGACCCCATGCAGGACATCAGAATGCAGCTCATTTTGGAGGGCAAAACAGGATTCCAATTACTTTCTCAGGAGATTGAAATTCTTAATATTTTGTCCTCCAAATTGAGCTCCTTTGACATCACATCAAGGGGGGATCCAACCAAAATTTTAGGGGGGAAGGCTATTTGAGTTTCTCCCATCAACACAACGGAAAACAATATAAAAAAGCATCGTTTTTTTCTGCTGAAGAGGGGGCTTCAGCCTCCCTTTGCCCCACCCCCCCTGGATCTGCCCTTGCACATGCAAGGATTCCATAGGCAGTACAAGTCATAATGTGAGAGGTTGAATGATTGAAGGTTAATACACATTTCATGTACATGTAGGTTCCAATGTACCCTACTTTCTGTTTAGTCATACCCCAAAACACAAGTAGAAGGATCTCCAAGAATTACATGTAAAATGTAAAATTCAATACTTCTTTCTACTGGATGAAATCTCCCATTTAAGGTCCCTTGGGCTTTATCGTATTGCTTTAAATTAATATAAATGAAAGAAACCAAATGAAATACTATTATGTGTTAGTAAAAATACACAGGTAATATTATAGAAAATCTCGCGCACTGATTGGTCAAGAAACTCACACTATCACACGATAATCACCTCCAGCGATATTCCTAAATGGCGGCCAGCCACTTTGTTGCTGTTACCGGGAAAAAAATGTCTTTTATCTTCTTTTTTTCTATCTTTTGAAAGAATCACCTGTGTATTTATACTAAAACAATTATTTGCCTCAGCCTCAGTGAATAGCGGAGAATATTTACCTCCCTGATATTCACTTCACCTTCGGCGAATTTGTTAAATACTAGCTGACAGCTTATATTAAACCATTATCACATATACTCAATTAAAGAATCGTTGTCGGGTTCAGAAACATAGAACATAGAAGCTGAGACCGAAATAGCACATGGGAAGTATAATTAGATGCATGCTGTGACCGGCAAACTGTGGAATCATCCACTGTTTTTAATACGCGTTAGGCATTTTAAACTGACTGCATGGATGGTGCACATGAATAAATTATAATATAATTATATCATTTTTCATGTGCCATTTCGGTCTCAGCTTTTATGTTCTATGTTTCTGAACCCAAAAACGATTCTTCAGTTGAGTGTATACATCAAATATATAACCAACACAGCTACTATAGCCCAAGACATTTAGGTTTTTGGCTTTTGTCCATCAAAAAAGTCTAACTAAATAAAACAATGTAAATTTGAATCATGAATTAACCCAGATTATCAAGTTATAGTTAATTGTCTTGGTCATTTAATCATGGAAATAAGAATATAATCTTACCAGAATGCAACTGCTCAAAACATCTGTTCAAGTACACAACAGAAGTAGTTGTCAAACATAGTTTGCTCTCCCCTCTTAAGATTGTATCTTCTATAGAAGAAACAATATAAAACTTGTCAAACACTTAATTAGTTAATGATTTTACTGGAGTTAAACAATAAGCTTAAGTAAGCTTATAAGTATATATATTTAAGTAGAGAGAATAAGAGAAAAATATCAAATGCCCTTGGCATATTTAAGGTTTAATATATCATGTGACGTTAATATCTGAAGTAGGCTGAAATGTGATCTCTTGGAGGAAAACAATTGTGAAAGTGAAAACACTAAATTAATAAAAATTCACAATCCGTACTTTTTAAAGCACATTATATTCGATTAAATAGCTTAATAATGTGGGCCGTTAAATAAACTTCAAACACGTTGAAAAGTAGGACGTGATCAAAACATCGCATGTGTTTCAGTCGTGTTAACTTGTTGTTTTTGAAGCAATTGTCTTATCATTTCTTACCATGTTTTCTCAGGATGGTAGACAACTTCCTTAAGAGTTCATCACCGCTACTTTCTTGCATGTTCGAGGATCATAACAYTGATTTCATATCGTTTTTCAGTCAGATCACGATCTTATTTTGGATAAAGTGTGTTCGATTATAAACTGTTTGAGAACGAGGCCGGTCAATACTGTGAATCCGCTGACTGTTAACCGCGGGCTCAGCAGTGATTAAAAACATTATAAGCCTTGCTGAGGAATAGCGTAGAGTAACAAAGATGTCAAAGGCTTTAAAAAAGATCGTGGATGAAACCAGAGAGCATGGATACACTGAATTGGACCTTTGTGATAAAGGGATATCACGTCTTGAAGATATTCCAAATCTAGGTAATTTTAGGCAAGAGAATTGGGATTTTCTTTGATCTATCTAAACAAGATCACCGGATACTCTTTTTCTGGTTCTGAATGATTGAAATGTAATGTTTTACGATTTTCTCTTTATTTAGGTACTCTAAGGAACCTAACTAGACTTACTTTGAGTCACAATAAAATAACAAGTAAGTAGTATGGTTTTAGTATCTATATTTTGCTCGTTTTTGAACCACTTTGACTATACGTGTTGTGCATTCCAATGCTGGGAGGGATTTTCTGTTCATCATTGAATCAATCTGTACAGGATACGAGCGCATTCTTTGCTGTTTACTTGTTTGTCATCGGCTGGAACGGTAAAAGCGAACTATTTATTGAATTTAAATGAATTTTCAGAGGTGATCAATACTTTAAAAACGACATTTGACAAGAAATAGTGTTATTTGTTTTGTGATAGACTCATATTTGATATGAGTCCAGGGGAGGGGGTATAGGGAAGAGGTCAAAGAAAAGGTCGGTAAATTACGTATTTTTAACCATCAAAGTAATGCAACAATAAGGTGCACAACAAGGCACATGATCGATAAACTCAAATTCTAAACTTTAGTTTCATGACAAATATTAAAAAAGTTCAGCAAAAAAGAAAGTTGATTAAAATAACCCACCACAGGTATCCCATGAAAACGAATACCAGGCCTGGCCTGGGGCAGGTCTGTTGTCCTGTTTATTTATTTAACTTTAAACTTGTATTCATTTGTTTTACAGCTCTTCCGTCTTCCATAGTTGAGTTACAAAATTTAGAAAACTTGAACATGTTTAATAACCATATTGAAGTAAGTAAAAACTACAAAAATCTTTTTTTTTTATTGTTGAACCCTGAATCAACCTCTTGGTTAATCAAATTCAGATCATGGCTAACTTACGACATAGTTAATATTAACTATGCTTACAAATCAAATTAGAAATATATAGCTTGTTAGATATTTTGGGGAGAGAGAGAAAACTGATGAACCTGAAAAAGCCCTTGATTTATGGGAGAGACCTTAAAAAAGCTGTTTACATATATATAATGCAGAGTCCAAGAATCAAAACCAGGGCTGTCAACTCTCCCGGAAAAACCGGGAGTCTCCAGGTTTTTGACCGTATCTCCCGGTCTCCAGATTAGAGTCTCAAATCTCCCAGATAATCGCCGAAGCTGACTATTTCTTGTGAGACTCGACTTTCTACTATGCTTACCTTGATTCCCTCAAAGAAAAGAAAATACAATTTGCCAAGATGAGTAAAACTAAACCTAGCCCTTTTGAATTGTAGTAGAATAAAAGTTACTGATATAAACTTTTGATATTTTCATTTCTAGGACCTTCCCATTTCCCTGGGATCTTTACCCAAACTTAGACATCTGAATTTAGCGTGAGTATTCATCATAATCATCATCATCATTATAGTCATTGTCATCATTGTGATCACCATCATTACACTGTATGGTCATCATGATCATGATCATCATTATATACTCATCATCACCATTATTCTGATCATCACATCATCATTATGCTCATCATCACCATCGTTCTGATCATCATCATCATTATAGTCCTCATCATCATTGTGATCATCATTGTCACTATCAACTGTTATTGTTAGTTATTGATAGTGACTAGCAAATACTGTTTTAATTGGGACTGTGTGGGTGTGTCAAATAATAATAATAGTTTATAATATAATAATATGCAGCCCGTAAAGTCCTCCACTGCAATGTAAAGCRTATTGAGACAATTTGATAATGTGCTGTATTAGAACTCCATTATTATTATTTATGATATAATATATACACTTGACGATATTATAAAAAAACACATTACCACTTTTTCATTGTGTACATGTTAATGACAGAGTATTTTGGCATAGGCTGTTGTATGACGTAAGCTGTCCACACCAGGGTTGTGATGGTGTTAAATTAACTCGATTTATTGTGTGTTTTTCTTATGTTGCTAGTGTTAATCGGCTGAGTACATTACCTAAAGGCCTGGGAACAGCTTCAGGGTTGGAAATTCTTGACGTTACTTACAACAATCTAAATGAACAATCACTCCCTGGAAACTTCTTTATCATGAGTATGTACAATCTTGTAATAATTTTTGAACAAATAAACCTAATCAATTTATTCTATATTAGATCATGTCATTCCCTTGAGTATTATTTCTTTGTTTGCTGGTATTGCTTGAGAAAATACAATAGTGTGGATAAAACTGAAATAAAGAAATAGCTACAGCTGTAACCCTCAAGGGAATTTGGTAGGTACAGGTGTACAGGGTCTGAAATAGAAAAACATTTTGCTCAAATGTGAAGGTTAGGGTTAATCTTAAGAATCTGGCTGGCCCTCTCATAGCTTTACTTCCTGGAAGTAGAAATCCTGTGCATAATTTCATAAGGATGTCAATATGCTTGCTTCTAAGGATCTGTGGATAGTGAGTGTTAAATGAATGAAGGGGTTCTAGGATTTTATTTAAATATTTTATTTGTTGTGCATGATTTCAGGCCAGTTGAGGGCTCTTTACTTTGGAGATAATGATTTTGAGAGAATACCACCTGAAATAAATCAGTTGAAAAACCTTCAAGTGGTAAGTGTAGTTTTAATAGAATGAAAAAATATTATTCATCATGGAAATTGTGATATTTAACAATTATTTGCCAAAGGCGAAGTAAATATCGGGGAATAATAACTCCCGATATTATTCCCGATATTCACTGAGCCTGAGGTGAATAATTGTTTTAGTATAAATACGCAGGTGATTCTTTCAAAATAAAGAAAAAAAGAGGATAAAAGACACATTTTTTCCCAGTAACAGCAACAAAGCAGCTGGTCGCCATTTTGGATTATCGCTGGAGGTGATTATCGTGTAATAATCTGAGTTTCTCAACCAATCAGCGTGCGAGATTTTCGATAATCACCTGTGTATTTATACTAAAATGAAGTATTCATTTGTAGAAGGACTGCAACATTTGGATTGCAAACTGCTACAGTAGTCTTCATCAGGCAATGGTGTAGACTGGATGGTGTGTCTGTTATATAGCATCAATCACGATGCAGATGTTTGACAAGTGCTATATAACAGATATAATTAAATGAACTGACATTTCAGATTAAACCTTTTTAAAGAAAAGCTTATGTCAATAACACATTTATATTATTTTGTAAAAAGTAAAAATATTTTGAAAGTAATGTTTTAAAGCTGACATGTCTTATCATTGAACAGTTGGTTTTGCGCGACAATGATCTTACCGAGCTACCTCCTGAACTGGGAGAATTGAAAAAGCTGAGAGAACTGCATATACAGAACAACAGGTTGATGGTACTACCCCCAGAACTAGGTGAGCAAAGAAAGTTAGAATAAATAACTATGAACTAATAACTAAAAAATGGTTTGAATTGAAGACTGAACTTATTTCTTTTATTCATCAAGTCCTACCTCAACTTGAAACCATTGTTTCATGATCAGTCAAGCAAATTCAGGGAAGGTCTGTTGCACTTTTGCTATGGCTGTTTGAGGAATTTTTTGCTTCCAAATGTGCATCCATTCACTGCTTAAATTTGGTGTAGGGCCATTCGTTAATTTTGAGTTTTATCGATAAAAATAAAGTGCATGAAACTGCACAATAAAATGCATGCAAACTGATCAAATCCTGCTATTGTGTTGTAGGAGCATTGAATCTTGGCAGTCCCAGACATGTGTTCAAGGTTGAAGGCAACCCTTGGTTACAGCAGATTGAAGATCAAGTGATCTTGGGTGTTTCTCACGTCATGGATTACATAAGAACAAGTGGCTATAAAACGTAAGTAAACTCAAATACATGTATTTGTAAGATGACAGGCCAAATATATTTTTAGCTTGGTCATACCTCATTTGTAGTTCAACCTTGCTGGTCAAATAGAGACCTTAAGCTGCAGGACGGCAACGACGACGACGGCAACCATACAATAGCACTAATTGCGCTATGCAATAGATACTCGTTGGCATGTACGAAATACTGTGCATCATTACCGCCTAATGCTGAAAGTAAGACGTAAAATGTCCTATTTTTACGTACTAAAGAGAACGGCTACGCCAAAAGCTTATCTTTGCTGATTTTCGTTATAAGTAAAGCTCTCCCAAAAGACGTCATATCACTCTAAAACGGGGATGCTAATTGAGTAAAATACTAGGTAAACACGAAATAATAATACAATAGAAGGTTGAAGCGCCTCAATTTCGCCGACGTTGTCGCCCACGTTGCCGTCCTGCAGCTTAATGTCCCTATTTGACCAGCAAGGCAAAGATTTGAGCAGAAAAGTTCCAATTCTGGCCCAACATTGTTCAATGATAGGCAGTTTTTTTAGCTCTGAGACTGAGCCATCTTTTTACTAGTAAGAGTTATTCTGATTAATATAGAATCTTGAATGCTTCTTTGATCCAGGCTTTATGAAAACCACAAGAAATCTCCTCCTCCTCCACCACCAAAAAAGGAAAAAGAGAAAAACTTGAAGAAAAGCAGAAAGAAGAACTAAAAACACTGCTTGGAAGTGTTGAATTAACTCTTCTGTCACGAATCAAAATTCATATATTTTTATAAAAATTATCAGAATTGTATTATCTTTACAGCCATTATTATAATTATGTGACCAACTCAGCCCTAGAGGACAGGGTTTTTTGGCTTCCATCATTCAAAATAATCACCAACTCAAACCGTTGTAAATTTGATTGCCAAAAGCCAAAAACCCAGACGTCTCAAATTAGAGGTAGTTGTAGTTGTCTTGGTTGGGTAATTAAGAAGATGGTCGTAAGGGATGAAATTATGGAGTTCTTGTGCAATATGTTATCGGATTTGTAATATAGAAATGCATTAAATTTATAATGTGTAAACTAGTGGTAAAACTATTTTCTGCTGTATGACAAATAGAAAATAAAAAACATTTAGACATGATTTGAACATTATATTATTTTCTTCTTTCTTTCTTCTCTGACAAAGACCTAATTCATGGTTTCATTTCCCCGTAGTTACCGTTGCTATGTACTACATACTGTACAAAGCTTCACAAATTAGGATGGAATAAAAAGTTTGAACACTGAAAATGGATTATAAATTGTTTGAATTGTTTACTGTTTTATGGAAATAAAAGAAAATAGCATTGTAATCCTTGTATGTCCTTCAGATGTCTACTTAGATAAAACAGATACTGTATACTTGTTTGTGGGATTCAAGGAGAGATTCTAATTCCACTGAGAAAACTGCTGCAATGCTGACTTGTTCACTATTGTCTCAGTTGGAACCATGAATTGTAAAAGTCAGAAAATTACAGTGAGCTTTCTACTGTTTCAGACCCTCAAAAATATAGCATTGAGGTCAAATACCGAGTGATCAAAATGAATCTTATTTCCAATCGATTGGTTTAAGGGATGATTTTAATACTGTATTTTGTATTTTTTTWAAAGTGACAAACAACTTGAAGTGTTCAAGGTTCGAGTGCCCTGACTAATTTTTTGTTGTCTGTTGTTGGGTATCATCACAAAGATAAGCAGTTCTTGCTGAATGAAGTGGAGTTGTGTAGTGACTTAAGAATGGGTTACGGTGGGAAACTTCAAAATGAGTGTCTCATTAATGCTTTAAAAATAGAATTCTTTAATCCTTCGCAGCATTGGTAAAAAGATAACTATGAATACTAGATAAATCTGAGAATATTCATTAATTATCTGATCAAAGATTAAAAGATAAAAGATTAAAATGCTTGTTATATATGAAACACAGCTAATACAAATGTTATAAACATAAAGTGAAGCACGACTTTTTTATAGATATTTAAACAGTTTTCTTTTTAACTTACTCCTTTGATGTTTAAAATGTGTTATAAATATAGAATTAACACCAGCTTTTCAAAACTTGAAGATATTTTTGGCTATATGATACCTTGTCACATGTATGTTTTCATCTCAGTAGGTACTTGATCAAGTCTTGGAGAATCTGGTAGTATTGGGCTTGGCATGTTTTTATCACTGAGATGATCATCATCATTGTCAATAACAATCTTATCACTGACCACTTCCAGGTCCATGTCCAGATCAATCCCTTCTCCTTTTACTGCCATGTCTTCATCAGTGATGACAGGAAAGTTAGTTGCTAAGTAATGCAGAAGGCAGGCAAGGATTGAGCCCAGTATTGGACCCACCCAGTAGACCTTTACAAAATGTACATACATTTTAGTCGTTGTATAATGTACAGTATAATTTAGAGAGGGAGTCTAACCTGGGTGAGACCGAGATAATGCCCTTCCCCCTCCCCCATGAAATTTTGAAATTGTGGAGAATGTTCTAATCGTATGTCAAGTCATTATGCACTTTATAACAGAAAATACTTTTTGGCCTTCTCAGTCTATCTGGTTCATCAGGTCATAATGAAAATAGATACAAAGGTGACGGGAGACTGTGGCCACTATTTTATCATTTTGTATGATAAGAGGACAGTGATTAAATACCAAGCAAACTTACCCAGTGTAACTCCCAGACACCTGATATTACAGCTGGTCCCAATGATCTTGCAGGGTTCATCCCACAGCCAGTTATATGGAACTGTTGAAATGAAAAAGAAAAGCCGAATTACACTTCCTGCAAAAGGATACAGGACGTTAAATCTCAGGCTTTGAGGAATAGACCTTGCCGGGTTTTTTTYCCAACTTTTGATATGAATAAGTTAGCAAAAATCGATCACCACCATTGGACAGAAGCACCTCAAAATTAGCACATTTGCCAAGTTAGAGGGTCATAGGTTGGAAATGGCAACGATCTAGCTCCATAAAATTGCAAAATTTTACAGGCGTTGTTCGTATGGTGGGGACAAGTTCGAGACCCAACCACCGTACAAACGTTTGTAAAATTTCGTGACTTTGTGTGGTTATCTTTACCTGTCTCCAATATACTAGTCACTCTCAATCTTGGGAAATTTACTAATTTTGGGGTGCTTTTTTTTAACTGGTTATATTTTTTCCAAAATAATTTTGAGTCCTAGTTTACCCCTGACGAAAATACGTACCGAAGCAAGATGGCATCCGACATACACCAAGCCAGACCACAAGGCTGTCTCGCTATCAGACATCTTTCTGCTACCATCAGCACAAAGCAAAACCGTGATAACAAGTAGAAAGGTCATGATTAGTTCTACACACACTCCAGTGTACAGTGGAACATGGACGCCAAGTCTTGTAGCACCAAGATCGCTTTTCTGGATGTTGTCAGGAGAGAGTAGGTATAGAAGGCCTGAACCAAGAATACCTGTAGGATTACATAAGCTTATTTAAAACAAATTTGAAAATACCCAAAAAGGTCATGAAAGTCAAAAATACTTTAAGCTTAATTGAAGTCAGCACTCATAATATTTTACTTGAAATGTTTGTTTGTGACTTAATAATTAAAAACATTTTACAAACTTTTCGAACCGTACGTGAACACGGATCTTCTTCAGATCGAAACGTTTGTAAAACTGCTTTAAAATTTTTGAGTCACAGACAAACATTTCAAGTTCTTACTGTCATGTAAGTCGTGCAGTTGTTTTGAAGAGTAAAAGTTTGCCTCTCTATCGGAACTGGAAGTTATTTAGGAAAAAGTTTGTTTTTACCTCCAACAAACTGTACAGCAATACAACATAAGCCAAATAAGGGAGATATCCTCCTCCTTATCATCCTTGCTATTGTTACAGCAGTATTGAAGTAACCACAGCTCCAAGAAGCGGTAAGATTCAACAGCACAGCGAAGCTGAGACCAAATGCAAACCCAATACTTTCTTTAGAAGGAGGGGTTTCTGTATCAAAACGCAATGTAGAAGCCGTCCCACAGAACACGAAGAGCATTGTGCCTAGAAATTCCGATATACAACAGTTCTGTATGGTTCTAAAACTTTCCATCTTTAATTTGAATGAAAAATTTCGTCAAGTTAAAAAAAAATGGCTGACGTACTTTGCTCGGCACCTTGCAAGCAGGTCACGTGATGCAAAGAAACTACGTCACACCATCGATGATGTCACATCACATGTCAAGTCAGAGGAGCTGAGGGCGTCAGAGGGGCTTTAATTTAAATTTTCCCCGCCGTTTTATGCCTTTTAACAATATTACAATAAAGTTAGCACTAATTTTATAGTTCATTCAGTACTTTATTAGTATATTTTGAAACTTTCCATCTTTAATTTGAATGAAAAATTTCGTCAAGTTAAAAAAAAATGGCTGACGTACTTTGCTCGGCACCTTGCAAGCAGGTCACGTGGTGCAAAGAAACTACGTCACACCATCGATGATGTCACATCACATGTCAAGTCAGAGGATTAAATTTTCCCCGCCGTTTTATGCCTTTTAACAATATTACAATAAAGTTAGCACTAATTTTATAGTTCATTCAGTACTTTATTAGTATATTTTGCAAATAATACCGCTGTATTCCTTCACTACCGATTAATTTATACAGGATTCGCCTCGTTTCAGAATGAAGAAACTGTTTCCTTATAAACGAGGCTTAACATCTAAAAGTACAAGCGTACAAGTGCTCGATGAATGCATAAGACTCGTACACGGAGCTCTAACTTGACTCGAGCTCATGATCAGCATGTACATATTTGCCTAAACCCTTATAGACTATTAAGCCTGACCTGTTTTAACTAGCCATAATAACAATAATTAATAATAATAATAATAATAATAACAATAACAGTAATAATAATATTCTTATACGGTAAGCGCATTCCAAAAAGATCTCAATGCGCTTTACAATATAAAACCTTATATAAAGAATATTATGAAATAATTGGCAATTACTCGCCGAAGGCGAAGTGAATATCGGGGAATATTTATCAAGACGCGAGTCTTCGAGCGGCGAGGTAAATATTCACTGAGCCTGAAGCGAATAATTGTTTTAGCACATACCAACTTGTGTACAGAGTAACTTATTTTTATATATGAATAATTCAATAAAAAAAACAGAATCTTTTTGTTTGCGTGCCAATTCACGCAAAACGTTTAGCTTTCACTTTTTCAATTTCCTCATCGGAAATTGTAGCAAAACGATTACCGGCAGATGCCATTTTGTTGCCGACTCAATATTCCGAGATTCAGCAAAAACAAAACAAAAAAGAGAGAGAGAGAGAGAACAGACGCAACTCCAATTGTTTTCGCATGTTCTCATTATGAAAATTGTGACTTGCATCATTCGTGAGAACCAGGCCTTAAGCTTCCCTTCCCATTAGAATAAAAGGATGAAAGACGGGGTGAACCAAGATGGCGGTCATGACGTCACTTGCACCCCCATATTTCTTATCGGCCCTGTTGTTCAGGGCTAGCCAATGATGCATTGATGAACCCAACAGAACAGCCATGTGTCCAGTGCAGACAACGTATCGTATAGAACAAGTGCAAAGTCTTTCTTTCTTTCTTTCTTTCTTTCTTTCTTTCTTTCTTTCTTTCTTTCTTTCTTTACTGACTTGAAAACACTGAAACCAAGGCTTACACCACCCCTCCCCCATAAGGGGTTGCTACTGAATGATCCCCTCTTTGATCCCCTCTGCAAATATTAAGCTGATCCGCATTAAGTTACTTAAAAACCATGTGATACACCTCCTCCGTCTCCCCGAATCATCCGACCCCTCCCAGGCCATAATTAATTATTGGTTCATTATACATGCTAACTAGGCACTTGTGATCTCGCTGTATGCCAAAAAATTTGATGTCCTCCCTTGTTAAACCTCTTGCGTATGGTGTCCCTTAGGGATCAGTTCTTGGTCCGCTGCTCTTCACCCTCTACATATATCGCGCCTCTGGAAAATGTGTTATTATTGCTCATATGGCGTGAATACCATGTTCTATGCCGATAATGATTCAAAACTGTATTTAGCCTTTGAACTTTCTTGCAATAATGACGTTATAGCCCAAATGAGACTTTTGATTAGAGACACAACGATCTGGTCTATACTTGGATATTTGGTTTTTCATTGCATTTCGATTTGTCGTATTATATTTTTTATTTATTGTTATGTATTTCTATTTTTCTTCTTACTATTGTAAAGCGCAGAGAGATCTTCACATATCTGTGCTTTAGGAAAAAATATATATATCTAAATATTATTATTATTATTATTATTATTATCATTATTATTATTATTATGCTGATAGTAAGAAGAAAAAATATAAAAAACTTATTAGTGATTTAAATGGCGATTATAGCCATGTAAAGTTAATCTTTCAATTATTTTACCTCGGAGTATTTTCTGATGATTGTGCAACATTTATTAAAATGTTAGAAAATGTAGGTTTAGACAAAAACCAACGTAAATATGTAATAAGGAAAATTATGAACATTGCTATTCGAACAA